ATGCTCTCCAGTTCCATCCATGCTGTTGCAAATGGTAAGAGTTCCTTCTTTTTTACAGCAGTATAGTATTCCATCGTGTAGATGTACCACAGTTTTCTAATCCATTCATCTACAGATGGGCACTTAGGCTGTTTCCAGATCTTAGCTATGGTGAATTGTGCTGCTATGAACATAGGGGTGCATATATCCTTTCTGATTGGTGTTTCTGGTTTCTTGGGATATATTCCTAGAAGTGGGGTCACTGGGTTAAATGGGAGCTCCATTTTTAGTTTTTTTGAGGAAACTCCATACTGTTAACAAAGTATTCTTTAATTAAGGCACGCAGATTGTGTTTTTAGGCGATAATGCTATTGCACACTTAGACTATAATATAGGGTAAGCACAACTTATCTCCACTAGGAAACAAAAAATAATGCCATGACTCGCTTTGTTTCGCATGTGCTTTAGTGCAGTGGCCTGGAGCACACATCTGGGGGCTGTGCCTACATCATAAACTGCCTCCCCCATTCCAGGCATCAACAGAAAAGGGCTTTTCATTTTTCGAATAATATTAAAATAAACAAGTTTCCAAAAGGTGAATGTTAATTCCAATAGAAAGTCTCAGAAGCAAGGGCAATCCTGTGGTTTGAATGCATTGTCCTTACTTCTCTTTTTTCCACCAGCTCCATCCACCACCTTGCACGGAGCTGCAGACCAGGCTCTGGGCACCGCCTGGGAGGAAGTTGCAGGCGGACCTGGGCCCCGACCTTAAGTCTCTGGTTAGAGGGGCGGTTTGGGGCCCGTCTCCCTGCGGAGGCGGCGCTGGCGGGCGGGCCCGGACTGAATGGGGCGCGCGGTTCCGCTCCTGCACGTGCGGGCGGATCGCCCCGGAAGAGGCGAGCCCAGCGGGGAGCCGCCTGCTTGGCGGGCGGCAGCCCCGGCCCGCAGGGTACCCGTTTTGGGGATCGCGCCCGCCGAAAGCCAGCAGGTTAACCCGCGGGCAAAGGACGAGGAGGCGGGGCCGGGACGCCCCGAGAGCAGGGAGGGACGCGGGGACGCCTCCGGTGGGCACGGTGCAGGCCTCGCCGGTCCCGAGTCGCGTTCTCTGCAGCCCCGGCGCCTCCTCCCGCCGCCTTCCTTCCAGGCCCGCTCGGCGCCGGGCGAGCAGGCGGCCCACCGCGGCCTCGTCCCGGGCCTCGCCGCCAGGAAGGGCCCGCTCTCCCGGCGCACGCGCCGGCCACCAGCCCCACATTCCGGCCCGGAGCCGGGCTTCCCGAACTGGGGGAAAGGGCAGCGGGCAGAAGAAACAGAGGGCCCCGCGCGCTGGGAGGGCTCCCATTGGCTGCTCTTGTTCCGCCCTCGATTCTGATTGGCCAGCAGTCTTTTGAGGGGGCAGCAGTAAGAGGTGTTGTCAGAGAGTGGGGGCCACCAACCAAAATCCCTCTACCTCCAGAGCACAGTAAAATCTCCGTACTCTGAGTTCCTACTGCTAATCATGTTTTGCCGCATGCCAAGGACAGTGGTCCCAGTTTTTCTCATCACACACTCCTATCAGCCGGAAGGCGCCGAGCAGGCCCCCCGACCCGCTGCCCCGCGTCGTGTCTCTTTGTCTGCAGGCAGCTCCCCGCGCCCCTTCCCTCGTGGTGGGATTTCTCTTCCCTCCCCGACCCCTCGGCGCTGGTTCGGCGGCTCTGACGGGCCTGGCTGCAGATCCGGGTCCGAGCCTTAACTCCTGACCCGAGCCCGCTGGAGGGAGGGGTCCACAGGCGGGGTCTGGGGTGAATTTGGGGAGGGGACCCCTTTTGGTCCTTTCTCCCGCTCCCTTTTGTTGGGCTCCTCCTCCTGCTGCACGGACCCTCCGGGGCCTTGTGAGTGGTTTGGGCTTAATTGCCTTTCCCGTCTCCTCTGTCAAACCAGGCCTGTTCTCCCAGGTGCCTGGGGGCAGGACTGGGGCCGTCCGCCTGTCCGTCCGTCCGTCCGTCCGTCCGCCCGCCCAATGAGAGAGGTCAGGCTCCCGGTGGGGGGACGGAGGTGGGGAGCGTGTCCGCCCTCCCTGCTCGCGTGGGCCAGGCTGTGCGTGGCAGGAGGCCACAGAGCTGGGCATGCCAGCTCCCCTGTGCCAGAGGATTGCAGCAGGCACCGGTCCCAGCGGCCAGCTGTCCTGCTGCGGCTGGAGGTCAGGCTGGCAGGAGGGCCCTTCTCCTGGGAGAGGCCCAGGGGGGAGGCGGTGGTTCGGGGAGCAGCCCATTGTCTGTCAGGCCCTGGAGGTGGCTGCAGGCTGCAGGTGGTGCAGGGCGGTTGTAGTTTTTGGCACGACCTCGGGCAACTCGGGAGAAGCGGTGCCACCTAAAGACGGGATCCTCCTCCCGGACCTGACATTTCGGGCCGGATGGTTGTGATAGGAGGTGACCTGTGCATTGTGGGACGAGTAGCAGGTCCCCGGCCTGTGACTGGGAGGTACCAGGAGTCCCCGCCACACACACAGGGGCTGTGACAGCCCAAAATAGCTCGGAGGGCAGCATCGCCCTCCTGGAGAGCCACTGAGGTCAGACTCTAAAAGGGGCTCCTGGGACCTGCCCTGAGCAGCTGAGAGGTGTAGGAACTGGGTGGTGGCCTCTGCCCTAAACTTCGTGGACGCGGCTTTAAAGGGAACCCCAGCCCTGCTCCTGGGAGGGCAGTGAGGGACGGGAGGCAGAAGCCCTGGGCTGTTGCCGTGCCCGCTGCATGCATGGCAGTGGCCGGCGGGTCCCAAGTGCAACAGAAGTGGAAGACTGGTGGTTGCAGCCTTTCGGATTTTGCAAGACTGGAGAGATGCATAAGAGATAACCGTGGGGGCAGCTTTTAAATCCTGAGCAAACCAGTCGAAGCTGCCGGAATGCAGGCAGGCAGAAGGGCCGACTTAGCTCTCCACAGGCGGCTTTTCCAAGGTGGTGCTTGCTCAGCCTCACTTCCTAGGAAGACGTCCCGTGTCTTGTGATACGGGAGGGGGTCGGGCCTGCACCTGCAGGGAGGAAGTCCCGGAAACATACGTGTGGGTCTGTTTAAATGTACCACGTGCCCCTCCCTGGGACAGGCCGCCCGGAGTGCAGTGGCGCAGCACGGACACCTGTATAGTTCGTGCAGGTCTTTTATCGTTGATTCTTCGAAGCATCCGTGTCAGAGACAGTGAGCCCTTTCTTTCTTGCAGAGGAAGATACTGTAATTCCGAGTCTAGAGTTTGCCTTCAGTCTACCAGGAAGCCAGAATTGATGCCCCAAATTTCTGAGTCCTAAATGGATGGTATGCAGAAAAGGCTGAAAAACAGGTGATTGTTGTACAGGGCAGAGAAAAACATCCCAAGTGCCTACCGTGAATTTCCCTTTCTTGTTGCCAGTCAGCCCTGTGGGGATGTGTTAGGATTTTCCTGTAACACCCCTTGGTTAGGGAGGGGGTCTTTCTCGCCCTTTGTTGCTTGTAGAAAAGCATCTAGACAGGGAGTTCACTTCTCTTTCCTCAAAAAGAAGTTTGAAGAAGTCTATTATTGGGAAGCTCCAAACTTAGCAGGATAATTTTCCATCAGGAGCCACGGACACTGAGTCATTATCTTTGTTAGTTGAAACAAGAGCTGTGTGCAAAAGTAGACAGGAATATTTAGGTAGAGAGTTGTCTTGGTCTGACAGTGTTGTCTGGAAATAGTTCCAGCATTCCCGATAAACAGCGGCCCGGGCACTGCGAGAGCCGGGGAAGGGAGTGCAGAATGAGGTCCAGCTCCCGCAGGTGCACCTGCGGAGAGGTGGGCTCTGCTGGTGCCCAGTGAGGTGAATCTAGGTGGGATCTGAGGGGGGCATCTCTCCACTCTTTGCAAACTTGAGTGGGCATCCATCGGCCTGTCCACCAGCATATTGTTTGAGCCCTTGACCCTTAGTTTTGAGGTCTGGGTCCCACAGGATATCGAAAGTTGGAACTAACTCTGAAAATCTCCTTTTGCTCTTCATACTTGGGTGTGATTTATTTTTAGTGTGTGCATGTGTTTTCACTCAAATTGCCATTTCAGGGTATTGTAGAATCTGTTGAAATTGAATAGTGACTGAGCTCTTGTCTCAGGAGCCATCGACTTGCATAAAAAACCCAAAAAAATCCTCCTATTCCCATCTGGGCTGGCCAAACCTGAAAAATCCCCGTGTGCCCCCAGGGTCGGTGCCCCCCACATCCTGCCCTTGAAGAAAAGCCCACTCTGAGATGGCGGGTGGATCTGGTTAAACGGATCCTCCTCGTTGTTTCAATCGTATGTGCTCCTCCTCGTTGGACAGATATCGGCTGATTGTCTGCCTGAACATGGCAGTGGGAATAGAACAGTGAGTGAGACTGGGGTCCCTGACCTCAGGCAGTTGTAGTAAGGGATGTGCAGATACTAGCTCCCTCAGTGTGGTGTGGACGAGGGACGCTGGGTCAGACACTTCTAACTGGTGGACACTGCACAGGCTTCTTTTTAAAAATTATTTATTTTTATTTATTCTAATCCTCACCCAAGGATATTTTTCCATTGATTTTTAGAGAGAGTGGAAGAGAGAGGGAGAGACAGAGAGAGAGAGAGAGAGAGAGAGAGAGAGAAATATCAATCTGACAGAAACACATCAATTGGTTGCCTCTGCTTGGGCTCGGGAGGAGCCTACAATTGAGGTATGTGCCCTTGACCGGAATCGAACCCAGGGCTCTTTGGTCTGCAGGCCGACACTATTCACTGAGCCACACTGGCTCGGGCTGCAAAGGCTTCTGGAAGGAGAAGGCAGGTAGCTGGGCTCCTGGGGATGAGCAGGATTTCAGCAGGAAGAGGCGGAAGTTTGGGGTGGGAGTAAGGGGC